CGGGAGGGAGGCTGAGTGGAGCTGGCTGGGACCCCAGCAGGCTGAGCGGGGCTGGTGGCTGGCAGGAGCCCACTGCCAGCTGAGTGAACAGAACCCCAGGTCGGCAGCAGGCTCAGCGGCAGCCAGGACCCGCAGCCTGCCATTAAAAAAAAAAAATCGGCTTGCGTGCCACCTTTGGCATGCGTGCCGCAGGTTGAGGACCCCTGTTCTAGTGTATACTGTACATTATGGTAATTTTCACTATACGCGATTTTCCTCTTACGCGCTGATCTTAGAACCTAACCCCCGCGTAAGATGTGACTCCACTGTAGTGTAGAAAAACAATTTTGGGCACCGCTTTTTGGCACCCCCAAATCTTGGCACCCTAGGCGGTCGCCTAGTTCACCTAGTGGTTACACCGGCCCTGACAGTATCCCCAGTCCAGGTGACGTGACAGCCAGTGGTGGATTTAGAGTTAGTGGGGGCCCCCAGCCCTGTGCTCAGCTTCATTTTTGGGGCTCCTCCTTGGGACCCAGTCAAGAAAAAGAACATTCTCTCTTATCTCCCCCTGCCCCCGTTTTTCATTCTTTGTTCTTCATCCTCCTCCCATAAGTAATAGCAAGTAAATGAAAATAAAGTGAGGTACCTTGATTGTTCTTGTAGTCTAACTTATTTTTCCACAGACCACTTGAAAATCACGGAGGGTCTCGACAGACCACTTAATGATCTTTCCAAATATTGTAAAAAAATGTTCGGGTGCGGGGTCTGGCCAGGAGCTAGGGCGAGGGAGGAGGCGCGGGGTTGGGGCAGGAGGTTGGGGTGTGGAGTGCTTACCTGGGGCAGCTCCTGTTTGGTTCTCAGGATGGGGCTGGGGAGGTGTGGGGGGTGCAGGGGTCAGGGAAAGGGGGCTGGGAGTGTGTGATGGGGTGCAGGAGACTGGGGAGGTGTGAGGGGGTGCAGGAATCAGGGCAGGGGGCTGGGGGCAGTAAGGGGGGATGCAGGGATCAGGGCTGGGGAGGTGTGGG